GAGAGAGAGAGAGAGAGTCTCGGTGTGTATGTGAAGATAACATGAAGGCTTCATTTTAAATGCTACAAGATAATTCCATTATTCTGTTCATAAAGTGGATTTTTTCAGTGCTTTGCTATGATGTTGATGCGTTCTGTCTACATGCTGGACGCTACCTTAAATAACCTGTTGTTGTAATGGGAAAATTACCACAGTTCAAGTAATCATTTTTAACAGAAGGTGATCATTTCTTGACAAGAATGAGAAGTAGTCTGATTAAAAGCAAGCATACTGATTGCAGTGTGCCTGACTCTCATCTTTTTTCAGTTTGTGTGAACAGAGATACAGGTCTCTCTGCCTCACCGCCTTCAAAACAGAAAGCTGAATGTCTTAGGCTTCAAATAACTGAAAATAACTAAGTCCATGCCAGCCAAATAAAAGCAACACTGCATGCCTCCGATCCATTATCAGATGATTAGCGCACTTTCAGGTATTAAAAGTCCAACTCTGCTGAAGTTGCGGCACGATTTCACAGCATCTCAGTAATCTGAGTTCAAACAAGAAGTAAATAGTTTAAGTCTTGCCAGCATGCAGTGTTTTAATAGGCTGGTGTATTTAGATCAAATGCTTAAAAATTGTGTGTGTGTGTGTGTAGGTGTGTGTGAGGGGAGGTGGAGAGGGTTAGGACATGTGTGGAGAGGGAGTGATCATTTCCACTCCCCTGCAGCATCCATATTTTATAGCCAGCAATGGGCGACCCGCACACAAACACACACACACATACTCTGTTCTAGTGTGTTTTGTAGCGCTGCAGTGTTAGGTACATGATTTGTTCAACTTCATTTGATTCTACAGCAAAGAGTAATTGCTCAGATGTGTCCTCACAAAAGCGAACACAGGTGCACACAAAAGCACAAAAGTGTTTTCTGCCACTGTTCTCTTTCTGCACTAACCACAGGAAGCTTTGTGAATGAAATCTCTGGGCCTCATGAGGACAGTCGCAAGTATGAAGTTTATTCATTCATCCATTTTCTTCCACTTATCCAATTCAGGGTTGCAGGGGGGCGCTGGAGCCTATCCCAGCTGCCATAACACAAAGAGACAGACAACCATTCACACTCAGATTCACACCTGTGGGCAATTTAGAATCACCATTTAATGTAACCCCACTAGCTGCATGTCTTTGGATTGTGGGAGGAAGCAGGAGTACCCGGAGAGAACCCACACAGTGTTGGGACAGTGGCAGGGGGGGTTTGACTGGGGCGGTACACCTGTCAAACAGCGGTCCTGAGATCAGAGAGGACAGAAACTTCCCATGGAGCAGACAGGCAAATGAAAAGCAGGGCCGCATGATCCGTCTGAGTTTTGGGGTTTTAAGTAGGAGGCATCAGAAAAGTTACCACAGTGATAACCGGCCTGTGGCAGCCAAGAGTTCATAGTGATGTCACCCTTGGTGGCACCAAGAACCTGCAACCTGGGAGCACGTGGCCCTTCTCTCCATCCATCCAGCACTGTGTTATTTGTTTGTTTGGCCTGGTTATTTTAGGTTTTACACCATACAACATTATGCATCCTTAACATTCAATCCCCCATCCAAATACTGACACATTGATAACACTCTTTAGCACACCTCATGAAATATTATGGTTTTTAACCCCATTCAGTTAATAAATTGTTTGTCATGGCCCTCGAGCCAGACTGTCACACTACTGATGATGTGTTGCTGCAATAGCAATCCTGCTCTGTATGAGAGGAACCGCGGGTTGGTGTATGTGTTTGGTGTGAAGCTACCCTCTGAAGGGTTATTACCGAACGCCTCTAAGTCAGAATCCTGCCTAGATGCATTGATATCGCAGCGCTGTGGATCTTCAGTTGATCTCAGTCTCAGATGGCCCATCTCCAACATTGCAATCATGTAAATGATTTCCATCTGCATGGGATGGGTCCCTTCTGTGCTTACATGGAAAGCCAGAGGCAGGGAGAGCAGCAGCAAGGTCCTCCATGCAGAAAAAATGGAGGCATTAGTGAGAACAGAAATGATACCAAGTCAAATACAGCATGAAAAGGAGCTGGGGTGGAGTTGGGTTGCAAAGTGGCTTGCGTGTATTCATTAAAGAAGTTAGCCTACCAACACACATACATAGAGCCCGCTCTATGTATGTTTTACTAATTGGATGCATACAAATGTATACATACAAATGCAGCCAGCTGTACTCCGAGATATTTGTGGAAACTTAAAATATTGGTGACTTATTGGGTTAAAACTGGAAGCATGCCCTTCAAAATGAAGACTGCAGATGTACATGGTTATTATAGGCAGATAACTTTATTCCTGTTGATCTATGAGAGTTTCAGGTATTTAATCAAATCCAAGGGAAATTACATTATACATTGACAGCATGTCAAACTAGTGTTTGCCAGATGGTAATTGCCCATTAGTATAGAGATGAGGGAAATCCTGTCATTTTCACATATGCCATTATTATCCGCAGTCAGTGGCCCAATTTTATTTTGGCTGCTATGTGGTCGACTGAATACGATGCTCTGTCTTTCTCCTGATGAGTGAAAAAGGGTTCGTTCATATTCACTGCAGTTTTTCTTTACAGAAAACTAGCTGCTGTGCCTGTACCTACTGTTCAATAGGTGACAAGTTTGGGGTTTCACTTTTAAAATGAAGTCACTAAAGGGATTTTAATCTACTGTAGGACAGCTGTGTTTTTTAAATGTGCCTTAAAACTGTTGCTACATGACAAGAGTCAGATTATAATACACTGATGTACAAATAACTGACAAATGTGATTCTTCAGGTCTTTGACACTGTCCAGCTGTCCAGTCTGTATCTGTTCATTCAGCCTATGACAGCAGGGTTAGACTCCAGTGCCCGGTGACCCTAAACCAATGGCCACAGCATCTGAATCAACTCACTTTCATACAAATCAGACAACTCCCAGCATTAGTGGTCAAGTACACCTGTATATATATATATATATTGCTATGCCTGTTACTTTAGACGTGTGTGTATGTGGTAGAGAAAGTGGATTTGTGTGTGCGCCCATGCATTATGAGCTGCCAATGTGTTTCATGCAGATTCATGCGCATGTGCAAGCAGTGCAAGATTGACTGACCCCTGGAAAATGTTATTCTTGCTGCAATGTAATGAGTTATGACTGCTGCTCCTAAGGGAGGCACACCCCACCCACACACACACTCACTGTAGCATCACTCCCCCATGGAGGTTTTGTGTGGACAGACATTATAAACGGTCTTTAATTACGCCTGCGGATGACTACTGTGGCAAAAGAGGAAAGAAAGACAACAGTTATTCATTTGTCTGCAGGCTGTTACTTGGTGGCTTGTATTTGCTCCCCAGGGAGAGGCATGCAAGATGACAGTAAAATGGAAGGATGGTTAAAATTAAGGATTAAGAAACTCTAATAACTATAATGAGCTTTTTCATAAACAGCAATGAAAGTGGAAGAATTGTGGTTTAAACCCAGGGCAGGAATCAGGAATAAATGAGATGAAACTTTAATGATTCCAAAGGGGAAATTTGGGGCACTGGAGCAGCACACTGTTGAGCACAGATCAGATTTAGACTCCTCTTGCAGGTTAGTAATATGGCTCCTACTTCTTTTATGTAACTGTGTGTACACATGAAAATAAAAAGTTGTAAAATCATGAGTTTCCTGAAGTGTAGTTTCCTGCAGATCATTTGTAACTTGGAAACGGTTAACACTTAAAACAACATTTTTCCTTTGGCAAAGATGAAATGATTAAACAGCTCGTTTAACGTTTTGGCAACACCAGAAGCATTGCTCCAGGGCTTGTAATGTTAGCTGTCGGATCACTATATCATTTTGATCCACACTAAAATATCTCAACAGCTCTTCAGTGGATTGCAGTGAAGTTTTTTGCAGACATTATGAGTTCTTGTATTCTAATTGCATTTAGACTAATGATCCACAACACCTATATAAAAGTCAAAAAGCATCACCAATTGGTTTTTGAAGCCTGGAGTCCTAGCTGCAGGATTATGACTGAACACCTCTAAGTCAGAATCCTTCCTACATGCACTGATGCCATATTAGCAGAATGGTCATCATCTTTGTGATTACTTTGGTCACCAGTAGTTTGTATGAAAGACGGTAACTTTTCTGCAAACACTCACCAGCTACTCGCCACGCAGTAGTGAAAAAGTGAAAAGTGTGACACACACCGTGAACAAAGTAAACCCTTTCAAAACACGGTGGTTGCAGCAGTAAGGCGCAGTTTCATTAGCACATGGCGAGTAGTTTGACATCAGTGATCTGCCATGGACCAAAGCAATCACAACCCACGTAGCAGATACGTCTGGCCCGGATCTGATGTCAAGCCAGCACTGCTGGCTGACTTCGGGCATGGTAAGTGGCATGTCATCCAGATATGGGCCAGGTCTGGCGTAGATGGCACTGTTTATGTGATGCCATGCCACATCTGGCCCGGTTGTAGTTTGGTGTACGTGGCCAAG